CTTATGTTTTTGTTTTCATTTGCTCATATGCCTTTGCCACTGCAGAAGTTGTAAGCTTTTTTAAAAGTAATATTTAATCTTATTCATCAGAGTTAAGTATGAAAGGACATCTTTTGTATTCTATTTAAGACAAATATTGTATTCCTCATCTTATTATTTTTGTTAGTAAGATCCGAAAGTGTCGAATTTAATTTTTATGGTTTTATAGACACGGTCTGGTGTTTCCTCATGAATATTTAAGAATCATTTTGATCTTTGTATTTTGTTTTACAACAAAGTTTGAAACTCTTGTGTTTGTTGGATTTGGTGTTCATCATTAGTGTATTTATACCATGACTTTTCCCTAAGTTCTTTTTATTTATTTCAGAGTTGGTTGCAAAACATTCTCAACTACTTATTGCAAAAAAACCCTACTTCAATTGGAATCTTTTTGTGAACCCTTACTCATTTGAGAATATCTTTTTTTTTTTTTTTTTTTGGCTACTTTAGGCTTCCTTAAGGGCAGGTCTGGTGTGGCCTATGGAGCTGGGGATCAAACCTCAGTCTCCTGTGCCTGACTGAGTTTGCCTAAGTGGCACTTTAAACAACTGAGCTAACCCACAGGCCTCTGAGAATATTCTTTTGTTCACTGGGTCCTGTGTACAAGATAGTCTAGCTAGGTATAAAATTCTCGAGCTGTAGGTTTTCTCCCTTAAGTTCATATGACTAGTTTCTCCCCATGATCATTTGACTAGTTCTTGCTGTCTTGTATTTCATATGTTTAGAAAAGATAGTTGCTTATTCTTGATTTTCAAAGAAAAAAAAATTGGAACCCCTTTTCTTGTGCTTATTAGTTGTATCTTTAGTTGAAGAATCCTGTCTTAGGGCTGGCCAAATAGCTTAGCAGATTAAAGTGCCTACTTAGGCAGATGCAGGAGCTGGGAGTTCGATCCCCAGACCTACCATGCCAGCCCTGCCCCAGAGGTGTGCTGAGATGGTGATTGAGATTGGGTGTGGTGGTGTGTTCCTGTAGTCCCAGCTCTTGGGAGGCTGTAAACAGGCAGATCACTATGAGTCGGATCTAGTAGTGAGACCCTGAACATCCTGTAGACCTCTCCCTAAAATTAAAAAAAAAAAAAAAAAAAAGAATCTTGTCTTTGCTTATTTCTCATCTGGTCCCAGCTTCCAGTCTCTTCCAATCATGTGAACTCTCTGCTCTGTCGTAGCTGTATCTTTTCCTAGTTTCCATGTCTTTATACTTTTCCTCCAAGTTTTGTGAGTTTCTCCAGTGTTTTCTCTGTTTCCAAATCCCTGAGTGAGCTTTTACAGTTCCATTTCTCTTCGTGGATTTAAACTGTGCTCCTAGGATTTAGAGATTTGCTTTATTTTTATGTTTCCACTCATCTTTCTTTTAGGCATTATATGCCTTTGCCGCTCAGCCTCTCCTCCTGTTTCACAGAGGCTGTATCTTTTTTGTTTTTCAATCTGCCCATTTGGTTACATATTAATGGTTGTTTTTAATCAACTGTTAGTCAGAATTGACTGACTAACTGGTTACAGCAGTGACGCAGAGTATATGACCCTCAGAGCTTCAAATATTTACCACTGGGCCCTTTGCAGGGAAAGCTTCATAGATGCCTGTGCTCATGTGAGCTTGGAGCCAAGGTGCAGTGTGCAAAGCTGCGACTCAGTCCCCACCAGCCTCTTATATTGCTCTTCTCTTATTCCCACTGCCTGAGTTTCTGACTCTCTGCACTGGTAATTTAGATAAAATTTTAAGTTCAGATAGCCAATGCAAGTGCTGTCCTTCCGGTCCCAACCCTTCCTTAGTCTCCCCTCCTGGCAGAAGGATCACTCCTACTGCCTCACCCACTTCCTGCCCATTTGTTTCCTGCTCGCTCTCACTGTCTGTCTTCCTCTTTTATTTCGAGCTCTTTCTGATCATCAGACAAAGAGCTCTGTCCTGAGGTAAAATCCAGTCAGGTTTTGCCTCTTCTACCACCATCTGCCTTTAATTAATAGAGATTGCTCCCAGATTCCAGCATTGGGTCATCTATCAGTTTCGTTCTTGGCATTCATTTGAATTTTCATTTTTCATTGTCTTTATAGCTATTTTGGAACAAAACAAGGAGAGGCCCCATGAGTGGCTGCCAAGTAGATGCCATATTGAGGGAGGAATCGAAGTTGCATTTTAAAGCTGTGATTTGTCCATCTTGTAGCCGTCTCTGTAGCTTTGCACATCCTTGATAAAAGAAGCAACACGGGGACATTCTTATTCAGGGACTGCTTGTCCAGTGACCTCAGTTCTCTGGAATACAAACCAAACAAAGCCCACAAGCAGCCAAGTCGCTTCCTCGGTATCTGTTGTAGAGGTTATTCATGCTCCCCACAAGAGAACCTTACCCTGCTCCTTCCCAGCTTGTTTACCTGTATTTTGTACACGGTTTCAACAGGCTCGATTGTTTCTGTTTTCCCAGCTCACAACTAAGTTAGAATCAGATGCTCTGAAAGTAGAAGGGGACATTCTGCAACAAGCGAACTCACCAGAGGGCTCAGGAAGGACAGACAGCACCCCCAAGCATGCACATCCACAAAGGCAAATACAGCCTGTTCTCTGAGAGGGACGTGGAGCTAGCCACCACCTTTGTCTGCCTTTCCTCTGCCAAGCTGGGTGCTGCTTTTAATTCTTGGTGCATATTGGAATCACCCTGGAAGTATTAAAAATCCAAACTCTTGAGCTGTTTCCTAGACCAAAGAAATCAGAACCTCTTGGGGGCAGAACTCAGAGCCAGGATTGGGAACCAGAGGTTGGGATCTCAGGCTCTGTAGCTTGCTGCAGTATACACACAACCCCTCGGGAATGGGTCCCCAGTGTCTCTGAGATGAAAATTCTTATCTGTGAAAGGGGGGCCCACTGGAAGGGGTCAGTGGACCTCAGAAAGCATCAGAAAAATGTGGAGGCCTTTCCACTGCTGTTGTCATGCCATCAACAAGTGCAGACTCAGAGATGCACAGAGATGACTGAGTTGGCAAGCAGGGCCTGGCAGTGGAACCTCATTAGGTGATGATGGATGCTGTGCATTTCTAGGGTGATTTCTGTTCCAGGTGGGCTCTTGGCTCTGAAGAGATGAGCTATGGCTGTTCCTACACCTGGGCCAGTGGTGCGAGAGTCCGTTGTCCCCAGACTTATCTGCCTCCCTTCTACCTGTGGGCCCTGGCTTCCCTTGGGCAGGCCACCCTGGCAACTTTCTGAGCACTAATTCTCCATCTAGAAGCTGAGCACTGCAACCCCCTGCAGAGCCACCATGTTCTCGGGGCAGCCCACAAGCTCAGAGGCACCTTTTACTGTCACAAGAGTGCATGTCTTGGGGCTCATGCAGGGGGTGCACAGTGGCCTTCTGAGAAGAAATGGCTATACTGACTTGGGTCAAAGTTTCCCCTAAAAACACAAAGCCACCCAGCAGATTCGAGGTTGTCCCCGCAGTAGTGCTACTTGGAACCGCTGGGTTCTGCCACGCAGTGGCTTTGCTGTTAGTATCATCTGTCTGTCCCTGAGCTGGTAGACATGGCTCAGCACAGCTGTTCCCAGGCAGGAAGTGCAACTGTGACGGTTGTGGCAACGCCTGTGTGTTTGGGCTGTCAGCTTGCCCATCTTAACCTCCGGGACTTGGCCACAGTGGAGCGAAGGCCACGCTCTCTGGACAGCCCAGTCTCTGCACCTCTAGACCTCCCTGCTCCAGTAACCAACCAGCTGTCCATTGGGAAGAGGAGACTGATGCTCTGCCTCTGCCCTGGACGAGGACATCCTGGCAGAGCTCCAAGGGCTCAGACCATAGAGGAACAGGGTGGCCATTTTTCTCTCATTTCCTGAGACTGGTTCCTAACTTTGGGCTGCGATAGGCTAGCCTGGGGGCAGTTGGTATTGGCCATTCTGGGGCTTCTGGGCAATGGGATGGAGTGATGCTGACCATTCAAGGCCCATGTCAGTGCAGCCTGGGTCAGCTGCTTCATGACAGGCCAGAGATTTCTTCTAGGAACATTGCTTTTTCCATATCCCCTGTAGACCTTCACCATGGACTGGGACAGGTGACACCAAGAGGCCTTTCTTCCTGCCCTCTGTTTCTCTTCCTGCCTCCTGACCTTGGCAGGTGACTGATTTCCTCTGAGGCTTGGTTTTCTTGTCTTCAGAATAGGAAGTACACACATCCGCACATGAGGGGAGCCTGAGATGGGCTTGGACATGATGTCGTACGCGGGGTGTAGCAAAGGAGCTGCGTGTTTATCCAAACAGCAGAAATCACTGGCAGGAAGAGGCGAGGTTGGGCTAGGGTCCAGTTACTGGTTCTGCCTTTGGGAGGCTGGTGAGACCACTGCCAAGGGCTGTCGTCTGCTGGCTGGCAGGCCCAAGCTCACGCAGGGTCTGGAAGCCTGAAGTGATACCCGGTGGATGCAGGCCCGTGGCCCTGCCTCTCAGCAGTAGGGCCCATTAGAACTGAACTCTTCTTCGTGGGGCATTTTATTTGTACACTCCAGTGGAGTGGACACCAAAGGGGCTTTCTAATGCTTCATGGACTGCTAATTTCCTCTCTGACCTCTTTTGTCGGGGCCTGACCCCAGCCAGAGGCTCCGCACCATGAAAGCCAGCGCCTGACACAGACCCGGAGCGCGGGGTGACAATGAGGCCTCTATCGGCTTTAATCAGGCTCCAGTTGTGTCTTAAGAACAGGGAGAATTTATGTGGTGCTCAGAAACCCTGGGTGGCACGATTCAGGAGCCCCCAGAGTCTCTCACGGAGGCCAAGGCGGCGAAAGGATTCGTAAGACCAGAGGAGGGGGGTCGGGCAGGGGCCCTTTGTCCCAGGGGCCTCTTTAGAAGGCCAGGCCTGCCCTGAATGGCCGCCCGCTTGGCCTGGCCCATGGGTATCACAGGCCTCTGGGTATTTAGGAGGCGGCCTCCTGCAGCCCGCCGGCCTATTCATGGCCGGCCTAATTAGCTTTTGTCTGTTTCTCCCCCTCTCACAGACTGCGATTCCTACTGCAAGGCCTCCAAAGGGAAGCTGAAGATTAACATGAAAAAGTACTGCAAGAAGGACTATGGTAAGTGAGAGGGCCTTCCTTTCTGGGGCAAGGTCAGTCAGGGGTGGGGGGTGGTGGCAGCCAGGAGCCAGAGATGGGGTGCAGTTGGTCTGAGGTGCATCTTGGTCCTGGGATCCCTTTGGTGAGAGGAGCCCGCTCCCTGAAATTTCTTGTTTCTTTTAAGTTGGCCCTCAGGAACAGACTGCAGAAGGGTCACAGGGGCCTGGATTCTCCCTGCCCCCCAGCTTACAGAGGGGCACCCAGACCAGTAAAGAGCCCTGTGCTGCAATTCCCAGGCTGTGCTCTGGCCTTCATCCTGCTGCGTGGCTGCAGCCCACTCACCTGCCCTCTCTGGTCTGCCGTGTCATCATTCATATAGTAGGCCTTCTAGTGGAGTCTGTGTTGCTCAAAGCAAGGTCCTCTGGGCATCAGAAAGGGAATAGGAGCCCCTAGTGTGTTTCGAATGTTCTGGGCTGCAGCTGGCTGGGGGATCTGCATTGTAAATGGCTTCATTTTGCCCCTGACTCAAGGATCTGGCTGCCCTGTTTTGGGACCCAGGCCTCATGGGGATCCTAGATGGGCCAGCTGCTTCAGCTACACGTGCAGGTTTTTTCCTGTAGTACGGAATGTGGTCAGGACCTTGCAGCACAACAAAATGAGCAATGAGGCCCAAAGGAATGTGGAGAACATCTAAAATACTCTCGTTTCTCTGCCTCCATGTGCGTGAATGTGGGTGCTCACATATCTCCCCCCACCATCCCTAACACATGGGAGCCAGGGCAAGACCCCATTCTCTAGGCCCCTCCTCACAGGCTGCTCAGCCTCCCACCAGATGAGGCAAGAGCAACTGGCCTGTTCCATGTGTCAGGAGTTGCCAGGCTGTGGGCATCCATGTTCAGGGTCTCTGTGGGATCCACAGTAAATTCCCAGAAGCCCCTTTCAAAGGCAGGCATCCCAAGCAGCATAGAAACTTCCGACTCCCACAGGGAAATAAACCCAGACTTTGATAACAAACATGTGGTTGTCTAAAGATAAAGGAAACAATGCTGGGTCCAAGCCACAAGGAGGGACCAGGTGGTTATGAAGGAAGCCACAGGGCATCCTCCCAGCCCTGGTGCTTTAGCAAGGGCATCTGGGAGGGTGGGAGGGAAAGGGGGCTGCTGGGGGAAAGGTTATTTGCTTGTTTAGGATTTAGTCTTAGAGGAACCTTTGGGTAGCCACCGCCTGAGGAGGCTGGGAGACAGGGGAGTTGAATGGGCTTTCTGAAAGGTTCTGGCCTACAACTTCTGTTCATCAAGTGAAAAAATGAGACTTCCCATCCCCAGATGGACCTTATTTTCTACCTGATTCTCTCTGACTCAGTCTGGCTTCATGCTCCTTGGGCTTTTTCCTCTTCTGGTGAACTCTGCCTCTGTGACCTCTAGTATTCCAGAGGGCACCTTGTCCCATTCAGTGCTACCTGGGCCACTACACCCCTCGCAAGCAGGTCTTCTCTACCTTTCCCACCCAATTCCCTTTGTCTCTTGGCTGAGGAACCCAGGGGTCACCCAGAGTTCAGGCTTGCTGCGGCAACCCTGGGAGTGAGTGGGGCAGCTTTTGGGGTCCCCTTGGCCTCCTATTCCCTGACTGTCCCCAACCTCATGTGCCTGACTTGCTCTCATTGTCGGTGAAGCAGGTGCCAGTGCAGTGGACATCAGGCCTTTGGTTTGCAGATGGGACATGGTCATGCTCAGTCACAGCCAGGCGTAGCCCTGCCTCCCGCTCCACCTGCAGTTCTTTCCTGGACTTTGCCTTCCCTGTCAAAATCAGCCCCAGGACCCTGCTTGGCCCAAGGCCCAGAGAGGTGAGGGGTGGCACACCAGCCTCACGGCAGCCCCATCCCTGCCACCCAGCTGCCTCCGCCATGTCTGCTGCAGGGTCAGACCTGAGGAGAAGCAGGTTGCAGGGGAGATGTGAGGTGCCCCCCGCTAAGAGCTGAGGAGGCTTGGCCTGGTGTGTCCCCAGCTCTCATGTCCTAGTCGTGTCTGTAGCCTGCTGCCTCACACCACTTCCTCTCATTCTCCAGTGCCCTTTTTTGGTTGGTAGAGTGGTCTATATTAATCTGCTTTCTGTTTCTATAAGAAAATACACCAGACTGGGTGGTTTATAAAGAGAAGTGGTTTATTTTTGCCTCACAATTCTGGAAGTTGCAGAGCAAGGTACCAGTGCCCATTCAGCCTCTGGTGAGGGCCTCGTGCTGTGTCAGCTCCTGGCAGCAAGTGGGCTTATGCGACAGAGGGGATGAAGGTTATAACAACCCAATCAACAACCCATTCTAGGGCCAGAGATTTAGCTTAGCAGTGCAGCAGCCTGCCTGGCAAGTGTGAGGTTGTGAATTCAATTCCCAGTACTTCTTACTCCACCCCCACCCCCCAAAAAAGAAAAAAAAAAACCCAGTCTACTCTTTTGGGAAATAGATTAATCCCCTCATGAAAGGGGAGCCCTTATGATCCAAAATACCTCTCAGATGTCTCTCTGTCCAGTGCCCTAATACCAAGCCTCAGCATAAGATTGGGTGGGGACAAACCACAGTCAAACCCTAGCTGGTGTTTCTAGTTCCCAGATTGTCCCAGGCACATATGGTCATCTAAGACTTGAGTCTCCCCACCCCAGATAAGGGGGGGAAGTGTCTGGCGGGGGAGCCTGGCTTGGGAAGGAAGCAGTAGGCGCCACCCATGGGGCCATGTAGGCCCCGCAGACAGTGCTGGGCCCATGGGTGCTGCCGGACCACCTCGTGGCAGTGTGGACTTGCTCTAAGGCTGCGGGCAGGGCTTTGTTGGCCTTGGGGAGAGTCTTTCTTTCTTTCTTTCTTTCTTTCTTTCTTTCTTTCTTTCTTTCTTTCTTTTTTTTCTTTTTTCTTTTTTTTGGTGCATCCTTGGTTGGGACCCTGGATTCTGGGATCTTGAAGAGTGTTTAGGTGTGTCTGTCTCAACCCTGGGGAAGATGTATGCCATGCCAGGGAAAGATGGACAGGAGGAGACAGGAAGGAGCTGGCCCAGGGATCAGAGAGATGAGGCCAGGCAGGGATGGCCAGCCCCAGGCTACATAATTCCTGCTTGCTCTTGGAGTAACCCAAGGGCCTGATGTCCACTGTGCTGGCACCTGCGTCACCGATAATGAGCGCAACTTAAGGCACATGGGGTTGGGGACATTCAGGGAATAGGAGGCCACGGGGACCCCAAAAGCTGCCCCACTCACTCCCAGGGTTGCCACAGCAAGCCTGAACTCTGGGTGACCCCTGGGTTCCTCAGCCAAGAGACAAAGGGAATTGGGTGGGAAAGGTAGAGAGGACCTGCTTGAGAGGGGTGTAGTGGCCTAGATAGCACTGAATGGGACAAGGTGCCCTCTGGAATACTAGAGATCACGGAGGCAAAGTTCACCAGAAGAGGAAAAAGCCCAAGGAGCATGAAGCCAGACTGAGTCAGAGAGAATCAGGTAGAAAATAAGGTCCATCTGGGGATGGGAAGTCTCATTTTTTCACTTGATGAACAGAAGTTGTAGGCCAGAACCTTTCAGAAAGCCCATTCAACTCCCCTGTCTCCCAGCCTCCTCAGGCAGTAGCTACTCAAAGGTTTCTCTGAGCCTCACAAGGGCCAATTAGAAAATACATTTCTCTTGATCCAGGGCTTTCTGAGTGAGGCCCAGCCGGGCACCCACACACGCCCTGGCCCCCTTCCTTCTCCAGACCTACTCAGGAGAAGCTTGATGAGCTACCAGTGGATGGCACAGGTTTAGGGCTCTGTCTGACCCTGTGAAGTGGCCAGGGGCCAGAGGGCTGAAGCCAAGGAGGGTGATGGGAAAAGCCTGCGGCCGGTTGGCCCATGAGTGCAGATCTGTCCCAGACTCTCTTGGGCATGTCTTTCATGAGTCTGCACCAGCAGTGGGGAGGGAGGGCTGGGGTGGACAGCAAGCAAGGCAGGTAGTAGTGGGGTGGGGAGCGGTCTTGGTGCCAGGGCTCTGCCACGCTGGTCCTGTCCAAGGAGACCTCCATACACACAACATAGACCCTGAAGGTGGCCCATACCATTTTTGTCTGTGGGGAAAGGAGTTTTGGCCCTTGTATTAGCTATGACAAGATACTTGAGAATGACAATTTAAAGGAGGCAATGTTAATGGGCTCTGGGGTGTTAGAGTCTCTTTTTAAAGGTGTTTCTAGATTCCTTCTGTCCTGAACAAAGAATTGGACAAAATCAGTATATAAGGTAGTGGAGGTTTGCATTTATTTATTTATTTTTATGTATTTGGTACAGCGTCTCACTATGCAGCTCCAACTTGCAGTGGTCCTCTTGTTTTCAGCCTCCCCAGCACTGAGATTATAGGCATGCAGCACCCCGCCTGGTCTCAATGGCTGGTACAATGCACCCAGGGGTGTGGCTGGCGTGGCATGTGGTACTAGGGATCGAGGCCAGGTCCCTGTGTTTGCCTAAGCAGGGGCTTAGTCCACTGAGCTATCTTACCAGCCCTGCATTTATTAAAGGTAGGAAAAAATATGCTCTGCAGAGTAAGTGGGGGCTAATTAAAAGTAGAAAAAGAAGAGTGAGCGAGAACCAGAGAGAGAGGGAACCCGAGAGAGGGAGGGAAGGGGGGGAGAGAGGGAGAGAAAGAGAGAGAGAGAGAGAGAGAGAGAGAGAGAGAGAGACAGAGACAGAGACAGAGACAGAGACAGAGACAGAGACAGACAGACAGAGAGAAAGGGCCTGGGAGGTGGCTCAGTGGAATAAGCGCTTCCCTGGGAAATGCAAGGGCCTGAGTTCAATCCCTGGTTCTGAGAGAGAGAGAGAGAGAGAGAGAGAGAGAGAGAGAGAGAGAGAGAGAGAACAAGGCCAGGAGCTTGAGCTCACTCGGATTGGTTACAAATGCAGGGCTTTGGGAAATGTTCTGTGCTTATGTCCTGGATCTCTGCCAGCGACAGGTCACTTCCGCAGCGAGTTTGCTGTTCCCTAAGCTCTTGCTTCAGTGAGGTAGGTTTGTGTCCTTCAGTT